TAGCATTTGTTTTATTTTTCCCTACATAGCAAAAGATTTTGTTAATACTACATACAGGAAGTGAAACTTGTCAAATATATAAGATAAAAAGGAATTTAAATGTGAGGCTTTTACTTGACAGGTCAGAACTGAGTCAGCTTAGAGTAACACTTTGCACATTTATTGTGTAACCATAATACCTCTGACCCAATCGAAGATAAAGTCGCTATTCGTTGGATTCTGCTCTCGTAACATCACGTGAATTTGCAACTGAATAATAATGATGTATACGTCGTGGTAGTCGTCGTGTTAGGGCTTCGCACACTTATACTCAACATCAATTTAAGTCTCGGGAAAGGCTTTGCAAACTTATACTTGACATAGATATATAAGTCATTGCAATTTTTTATCTTGTCATACCAATAAACTTACAAAATTTATGAATTTCTATGACTTCAATTTTAACCACAGTTGCCAACAGCAGGGTAAATTTAACTCAAACTTGTTTGGCACAAGAGAAATTGAGTTACGTGGATGTTTAAACTATAATCAGGCTTGATCTCATTGACTGTATATATATATGTCATCGCTTTAAACCAAAGTGTTAACTTGGCGAGTATACATGTACTGGATTAAAGTTTGAATCAATAGAATTCTGTTTCAATTAAAATAAGGACAAATCCTTTAACATGAAAGAAACACTTGCTATTCAATGGTTTCTAAAAAAAATGTTGATTTAATCACATATCAGCTTAAATGTGCAAAACTGAGCGAGCTCTTTTGGAATGCAATTGTTTTCCTTTTTGATACCGACAAATACAGCTAAGCCTTGTCAGATTATGACAAGACCTAGAATATTAGCTTGGACACGATCACCAAGACCTGGAACATTAGCCTTAAGGACACGATCACCAAGACCAGGAACATGAGCTTTAAGGACACGATCACCAAGACCAGGAACATCAGCTTTAAGGACACGATCACCAAGACCAGGAACATCAGCTTTAAGGACACGATCACCAAGACCAGGAACATCAGCTTTAAGGACACGATCACCAAGACCAGGAACATCAGCTTTAAGGACACGATCACCAAGACCAGGAACATCAGCTTTAAGGACACGATCACCAAGACCAGGAACATCAGCTTTAAGGACACGATCACCAAGACCAGGAACATCAGCTTTAAGGACACGATCACCAAGACCAGGAACATCAGCTTTAAGGACACGATCACCAAGACCAGGAACATCAGCTTTAAGGACACGATCACCAAGACCAGGAACATCAGCTTTAAGGACACGATCACCAAGACCAGGAACATCAGCTTTAAGGACACGATCACCAAGACCTGGAACATCAGCTTTAAGGACACGATCACCAAGACCAGGAACATCAGCTTTAAGGACACGATCACCAAGACCAGGAACATCAGCTTTAAGGACACGATCACCAAGACCAGGAACATCAGCTTTAAGGACACGATCACCAAGACCAGGAACATCAGCTTTAAGGACACGATCACCAAGACCAGGAACATCAGCTTTAAGGACACGATCACCAAGACCAGGAACATCAGCTTTAAGGACACGATCACCAAGACCAGGAACATCAGCTTTAAGGACACGATCACCAAGACCAGGAACATCAGCTTTAAGGACACGATCACCAAGACCAGGAACATCAGCTTTAAGGACACGATCACCAAGACCAGGAACATCAGCTTTAAGGACACGATCACCAAGACCAGGAACATCAGCTTTAAGGACACGATCACCAAGACCAGGAACATCAGCTTTAAGGACACGATCACCAAGACCAGGAACATCAGCTTTAAGGACACGATCACCAAGACCAGGAACATTAGCTTTAAGGACACGATCACCAAGACCAGCAACATCAGCTTTAAAGACACGATCACCAAGACCAGGAACATCAGCTTTAAGGACATGATCACCAAGACCAGGAACATTAGCTTTAAGGACACGATCACCAAGACCTTGAACATTAGCTTTAAGGACACAATCACAAAAACCTGGAACATTAGCTAGGACACGATCACCAAGACCAGGAACATGAGCTTTAAGGACACGATCACCAAGACCAGGAACATTAGCTTTAAGGACACGATCACCAGGACCTGGAACATCAGCTTTAAGGACACGATCACCAGGACCTGGAACATTAGCTTTATGGACACGATCACCAAGACCAGGAACATGAGCTTTAAGGACACGATCACCAAGACCAGGAACATGAGCTTTAAGGACACGTTCACCAAGACCAGGAACATTAGCTTTATGGACACGATCACCAAGACCTGGAACATTAGCTAGGACACGATCACCAAGACCAGGAACATCAGCTTTAAGGACACGATCACCAGAACCTGGAACATTAGCTTTATGGACACGATCACCAAGACCAGGAACATCAGCTTCAAGGACACGATCACCAAGACCTGGAACATCAGCTTTAAGGACACGATCATCAAGACCTGGAACATTAGCTTTAAGGACACGATCACCAGGACCTGGAACATTAGCTTTATGGACACGATCACCAAGACCTGGAACATTAGCTAGGGCACGATCACCAAGACCAGGAACATCAGCTTTAAGTACACGATCACCAAGACCTGGAACATCAGCTTAAAGGACACGATCACCAAGACCTAGAACATCAGCTTTAAGGACACGATCACCAAGACCCGGAACATCAGCTTTATGGACACGATCACCAAGACCTAGAACATCAGCTTTAAGGACACGATTACCAAGACCTGGAACATTAGCTAGGACACGATCACAAAGACCTGGAACATCAGCTTTAAGGACACGATCATCAAGACCTGGAACATTAGCTTTAAGGACACGATCACCAAGACCAGGAACATTAGCTAGGACATGATCACAAAGACCTGGAACATCAGCTTTAAGGACACGATCATCAAGACCTGGAACATTAGCTTAAAGGACACGATCACCAAGACCTAGAACATTAACTAGGACACGATAGGACACGACCACCAAGACCTGATACATGTAAGGTTATTGATAATCTGTTTCCAGCATTTCAGCAAGTTATTCAAGACATGTACAATGCCAAATTCCTAATGACATTGATGATATTAAGACATAAATATAATCTTAACCATGTAAATTGCTATCACAAATTTTCCAGAAGAGTAACGTTTAATCTAAACGCTGGTAGATCAACTATCTCTCAGTGACACGAATAGTAATTTAAAGGCTAAGAGGATGCTGGATTTTTCAGAAATAACTTGAAGCTGGCAAAATTGATTTTCCTGGATTTTTTTTCCATTACATGATATGTATCAATCAAACCAATGGTACCATTTAATTACATAACAAAACAGCCCGCAGAATTAGTTCATTCTTATCAGGGTGAACATTAGTTAAAGTTGCAAATTGTGCACACCATGTGCAGTGTATGCACATTGCACAATATGACGTGTGCACAGTATTTTTTTTGTTGTGAGTTCACAGCTGTAATTTAATAGTTTAACGTACTGAAGAGCTTGCACTGCTACGTCTTTCTGGTTTCTTTAGACTGATGGTTTTTTATATCCTGAAGCCTTTCCCAGCCTTCAGCAGCCATAACAAAAATTCCATGTAATACAATTAAACTTTAAGGATAAAGAAGCCATCCGGAAGTTCTCAATAAAACAAGTAGCAATACATCTAGTGATATTATTGTGATTTAATGATATAATCCGCTTTAGCCTTTACATTTATAACATTATCACTGCTATTGACCGAAGGTTGTTTACATTCAAATCGGAAAACTGGAAAACAGCAGCATTAACAAAGTGCAAAGATCTTAAAGAAAAGAACACAAAAAATATCACCCATCTGTAGTAACGGGTAGGTCTTTTTTTACATGCAAATTTAGATTTGGCTGTTGTGTAAGATACAAATAGACCGAGAAACCAAGAGTTTAAGCCGTGCAATAGGATTTTTTTTTTTTTTAACTTTTAAAATACACATGAATTATAATTTTTTGCACTGCATATTTGTCAAATCTAGTTTACCAGCATGCCTTACATGTCACTGGGCCATAAAACTTCAATTTTCTAGAAAAATTACTCAACAGAATCGATTAATTGTCAGTAACTCATCTGGAACATATTTATTTGTGGAGAAGGGGGACAGAAACAACCCACATCCCTCAATTATCTTTGGTTTCGGAACAATTAGCTACAATATCTTATTGTAAATCATCCATCTTTGCAGAACAGTACAGGGTGGGGGGGCGTGGGGGGGAAGAAGTGGCTGTTACACCGGCAATATAGGCTGCTATGGTATTTTGAATATTTCTCCCTTCATCAACAGGGGTATGATTTCATACTTGAATATAAATGCATAATCAATAAAATACAAAGGCGTTTAGGTGATCATCAATTTCTTGAAATGATGAATTTATTTTTGCTTGGCTACACACGTGTTCCACATACGTTTTGTGCTAGCAGACAACTACCAGTACTGAAATCTACATGTAGATCTACTTTTAATGAAAATCTGCATCACGATGTATTCTGATCTAAGTGGTTCAAATAGCTTATAGCTTTCAACTTAGCGTAGCGGTTTATCCACAGCACCCATGCACCATATGGAAAGGTTAACACTATAATGTCCTGCATCTCGCACAGCTATTACAAACCAAACAAGAGGTCCATTGGACCTGTATCGCTCACCTGATTTTATATATAAGTCATTACAACTGTATGCATTAGTACATCTTTATATGAAATTTCCCCAAAACCACACAAGATCTATGTTCTAACCCAACTGGGACCACAATATCTGACTTTCAACTAATCAGGCCTCTACTGAGTTACATGTTAACAGATTTTGAAATAAGTAATATGTCATATTACAGGGTGTAATTAGACAATAAGAAAACTGCACCATAGAATATGATAATCTAGCTGTACCATTTCTTAGGACCGCAGAAGGGTCAACTCAATTCAATTAAGAAATGTTTGTTCTTCCTCAATCAATGCCTACCAATAAACCCATGCCTACCAATAAACCCAAACCCATGCCTACCAATAAACCCATGCCTACCAATAAGATCATGCCTACCAATAAACCAATGCCTACCAATAAACCAATGCCTACCAATAAACCCAGGCCTACCAATAAGATCATGCCTACCAATAAACCCATGCCTACCAATAAGCCCATCCCTGCCAATAAACCCATGCCTACCAATAAACCCATGCCCGCAAATAAACCCATGCCAATCAATAAACCAATGCCTACCAATAAGATCATGCCTACCAATAAACCCATGCCTAACAATAAACCAATGCCTACCAATAAACCAATGCCTACCAATAAACCCAGGCCTACCAATAAGATCATGCCTACCAATAAACCAATGCCTACCAATAAACCCAGGCCTACCAATAAGATCATGCCTACCAATAAACCCATGCCTAACAATAAACCAATGCCTACCAATAAACCAATGCCTACCATAAAACCCATGCCTACCAATAAACCTATGCCTACCAATAAACCCATGCCTACCAATAAACCCATGCCCACAAATAAACCCATGCCAATCAATAAACCAATGCCTACCAATAAGATCATGCCAACCAATAAACCCATGCCTACCAATAAACCCATGCCTACAAAAAAAACAATGCCTACCAATAAACCCATGCCTACCAATAAGATCATGCCTACCAATAAACCCATGCCTACAAAAAAAACAATGCTTACCAATAAACCCATGCCTACCAATAAGCTCATGCCTACCAATAAACCAATGCCTATCAATAAACCCATGCCTACCAATAAGATCATGCCAACCAATAAACCCATGCCTACCAATAAACCCTTGCCTACCAATAAGATCGTGCCTATCATAAAACCCATGCCTACCAATAAACCCATGTCTACCAATAAGATCATGCCTACCAATAAACCAATGCCTACCAATAAACCTACCAATAAACCAATGCCTACCAATAAACCAATGCCTACCAAAAAACCCATGCCTACCAATAAACCCATGCCTACCAATTATAGATCATGCCTACCATAAAACCCATGCCTACCATACAGATAAAACCCACCAATAAACCAATGCCTACCAATAAGCCCATGCCTATCAATAAACCCATGCCTACCAATAACCCAATGCCTACCAATAAACCCATGCCTCCCAATAAACCCATGCCTACCAATAAACCAACGCCTACCAATAAACCCATGCCTACCAATAAACCAATGCCTACCAATAAGCCCATGCCTATCAATAAACCCATGCCTACCAATAAACCAATGCCTCCCAATAACCCCACGCCTACCAATAAACCAATGCCTCCCAATTAACCCATGCCTACCAATAAGACTATGCCTACCAATAAACCCATCCCTACCAATAAAATCATCCCTACCAATAAACCCATGCCTAGCAATAAACCAATGCCTACCAATAAACCCATGCCTAGCAATAAACCAATGCCTACCAATCAACCCATGCCTACCAACCAGATCAGGCCTACCAATAAACCCATGCCTACCAATAAGATTATGCCTACCAATAAACCCATGCCTACCAATAAATCCATGCCTACCAATAAGATCATGCCTACCAATAAACCAATGCCTACCAATAAACCCATGCCTACCAATAAGATCATGCCTACCAATAAACCCATGCCTACCAATAACCCCATGCCTCCCAATAAACCCATGCCTACCAATAAACCCATGCCTACCAATAAACCAATGCCCACCAATAAACCAATGCCTTCCAATAAACCCATGCCTACCTATAAACCAATGCCTACCAATAAACCCATGCCTACCAATAAACCAATGCCTACCAATAAACCAATGCCCACCAATAAACCCATGCCTACCAATAAACCAATGCCCACCAATAAACCCATGCCTACCAATGCCTACCAATAAGTCCATTCATATCGAATGCAGTTTTGCAGAAATACCAACATAATATTGCTATTCCATTGCCCTGTAATTAGCCCAGCCCCCTACTTTGAGTTACAGATTATGTGTATTGTAGGATACATATGGTATACCATAAAACATGAAGTAGCACATTATGTCTGTTAAAACATGAGGAAGTAATTGTTTCTTCTGACTGTAAGCAATAAAATGTCAGAAGTAAACATTACCAGAGGCAGTTATCAAATCACATGAAGCTTATTGAGTCGGAAATCTGACAAGCTGGGTTTGAAATTGTTCCCTTCTTCCACACCTCATTGTACCTTTTTATGTTCCAGGGATGTTATTTTTTGATATGATACATGTGTGTTTATTCATGTTTCTAACAGAGATGATTTTTTATTAATGAATGTCACGATTTATAAGCCTGCTTACTAAGACATATTTATGTTCGACCCATATTATACTGTCAAATTTGATAAAATAAGGATAAATAAAGACGATTTAAATGTTCTGTAATGGGAATAAACCAAAAATGTGTGAATCTAAATTGTGTGTCAGACTATATTCTTTTCATTATGAAAACTATAAAGTAATTAATAGCTCATATGCTATCAATGTGTTTTAAACAATATGCCCTGTTTGAGAACTGCATAGCTGGACTGTTGGAAAAATAGATAAATCTAAAAAGAATGAATATTAATGTCAAAAATTGCACATTCTTCTGTTTTGACTGCAATTAATGCATCAATGTCGAACCCCCAGAAACCGCCACAACAAACATTTGCATCCCAGCACAAATACTAAAAAAAGTGTTAATGTCTCAATTCCAGCATTTGTGCCAAAAGGGAGGCCAACCCGACCAAGGATATGTATCTCTCACCACACCACCCTTAACTCATTCACCCCTGAAACCTCATTTGAACTCTTCCAAATCAAAGGTTGGAATAGTTCATTATAAACATTTAGGGGTGAATGAGGGTATAGACTGATTACAGAGTAGTATTATTTCATATTTTGGGAAGTAGCAATTAACAATTGACAAAGACCCTGGTAACGAATTAAATTCAGAATATGACAAATTTAACTTATATTTTCTCATACTTTGTTATGATTTATTCTTTAAAATCTAACTGACTGAGAAGTCAAAGTAAGTCACTAGCATTTGAATGTACTGCCATTTGTCATTTTGAACAGACCTATACACACCTGTCCAATTGAAGTAACACTAATTTACTGTATACCTATTTCAAATTAAGGTGATACATATTGTAGGCTCATGATCATGTTCATTTTATTTTCCAAAAGTTTACAACTTAATTATAAGTACAGGAGATTACTACAATAATCCATACATATACAATACTACATGCTTCACCAGGGCGGCAGTTTGTATTTGAAAACAAATAAGTGGCATGTATTTTGAATGAATGATGTACTAGTTATAAAATAAGTGACATGTATTTGAATGAATGTACATTATAAATGATATACTATAGCTAGTTAAAGAAAAATTAATAAAAATATTGTATTGAAGGATAACGCATTGTTGTTGGTTCGTACATTTAAATTTGTTTTCAGATTCTCTCTCAACATAAACAATTTGTGCAGAAACTTTCCAAATTTGCATAATTCAGATGTATTGCTAGAGTTCATAAGACTGATGAATTTAAACATGCTGGGTTTTGACCAATAATATTTTTTCATGTGAATATGTCTGAAGTATCTGAAAAGATGGACATTTAAGCACGAAGTGGTATTCGTCCTCAGTATCTAAATTGCATAATTTACAGATTCTTAAGTTCCTTGGTACAAATGCATGCATTCACCTCTGACATGACAAAACACCACAATGAACCCACAATGCTTTATCTAAAAAGTAAAACTGGGCCAATTAATGAGAACATCTAGCTGTGAACGGTATAACAGACAGTGAGAAAGGCTTTACATTGATTAGCTATTTATATCAGGTGACAGACAGAATGTCCAACAGTGGCCCTGATTAGCTGGTGCTGCCTGACATACAGCACAGACTGGCTGCAAAACAACGCTTTGTATGACAGTAGGCACAGAATAAGACATTCATCCTCTGAACAATTACATCCCACAACCACACACATTACATAGGCTATTGTTGAGCTGGCATTCCTAACATAGGCAGCTACTTGCCAACTCTCCCTTTTTTTGAGGAAGAATCCTGACTTTGAGCCCTAAAATTGAGCATTTTCAACCAGTGAATTTGCTAAACTATTTCTATTTTCTAAGATTTCATGATTTCATCTGAAAGAACAATTAACTCAAAAGATGTCATTTGAAAGTGATATTTTCCCCTAGGATGTACATAGACACATCTAATAAATGTTTTTGATTTAGAGCATGAATATGTGTAATTTCCCTCTGGGAAATTTCAAAAAGTTGACAAGTATGAAAAGGTTCAACTATATGGCAACTGCTGTTATAGGGGGTAGGTTAGTATGCCTACACAGGCTGCTGTTATAGGGGGTAGGTTAGTATGTCTACAAAGGCCGCTGTTATAGGGGGTAGGTTAGTATGCCTACAAAGGCCGCTGTTATAGGGGGTAGGTTAATATGACTATGCAGGCCGCTGTTATAGGGGGGAGGTTAATATGCCTACGCAGGCCCCTGTTATAGGGGTTAGATTAATATGCCTACGCAGGCCGCTGTTATAGGGGGTAGGTTAGTATGTCTACGCAGGCCGCTGTTATAGGGGGTAGGTAAGTATGCCTACACAGGCTGCTGTTATAGGGGGGAGGTTAGTATGCCTACACAGGCCGCTGTTATAGGGGGTAGGTTAATATGCCTATGCAGGCCGCTGTTATAGGGGGTAGGTTAATATGCCTACGCAGGCCCCTGTTATAGGGGTTAGGTTAAGATGCCTACGCAGGCCGCTGTTATGGGGGTAGGTTAGTATGCCTAAGCAGGCCGCTGTTATAGGGGGTAGGTTAGTATGTCTACAAAGGCCGCTGTTATAGGGGGTAGGTTAGTATGCCTACACAGGCTGCTGTTATAGGGGGTAGGTTAGTATGTCTACGCAGGCAGCTGTTAAGGGGGAGGTTAATATGCCTACGCAGGTCGCTGTTATAGGGGGTAAGTTAGTATGCCTACGCAGGCCGCTGTTATAGGGTGTAGGTTAGTTTGCCTACACAGACCGCTGTTATCATATATATGTAGGAGAAGGTACACTAAACTCATGGGCAGAACTTGTTATAGGAGTAGGTACTGTGACCTAACTTACAGGCCACATTTGTTATTGGAGTAGGTATATATAGGTGTAGGTACACTTAACATATAGGTCTCAATTGTGTTAGGAGTAGGTACACTTAACATATAGGCAACAATTGTTATAGGAGTAGGTACATCTATAACTTATAGGCAACAGTTGTTATAGGAGTAGGTATATATAGGAGTAGGTACACCTAACTTGTAGGCAACAGTTATTATAGGAGTAGGTTCACCTAACTTTAAGGCAACAGTTGTTATAGGAGTAGGTACACCTTACTTATAGGCAACAGTTTTTATAGGAGTAGGTATATATAGGAGTAGGTTCACCTTACTTATAGGCAACAGTTATTATAGGAGTAGGTATATATAGGAGTAGGTACACGTTACTTATTGGCAACAATTGTTATAGGAGTAGGTATATATAGGAGTAGGTACACCTTACTTATTGGCAACAGTTGTTATAAGAGTAGGTACACCTAACTTATAGGCAACAGTTGTTATAGGAGTAGGTTCACCTAACTTATAGGCAACAGTTGTTATAGGAGTAGGTATATATAGGAGTAGGTACACCTTACTTATTGGCAACAGTTGTTATAGGAGTAGGTACACCTAACTTGTAGGCAACAGTTGTTATAGGAGTAGGTTCACCTAACTTATAGGCAACAGTTGTTATAGGAGTAGGTATCTATAGGAGTAGGTACACCTAACTTGTAGGCAACAGTTATTATAGGAGTAGGTTCACCTAACTTTAAGGCAACAGTTGTTATAGGAGTAGGTACACCTTACTTATAGGCAACAGTTTTTATAGGAGTAGGTATATATAGGAGTAGGTTCACCTTACTTATAGGCAACAGTTATTATAGGAGTAGGTTCACCTAACTTATAGGAAACAGTTGTTATAGGAGAAGGTATATATAGGAGTAGGTTCACCTTACTTATGGGCAACAGTTATTATAGGAGTAGGTTCACCTAACTTTAAGGCAACAGTTGTTATAGGAGTAGGTACACCTAACATATATACAACAGTTGTTATAGGAGTAGGTACACCTAACTTGTAGGCAACAATTATTATAGGAGTAGGTTCACCTAACTTTAATGCAACAGTTGTTATAGGAGTAGGTTCTCCTAACTTATAGGCAACAGTTGTTATGGGAGTAGGTATATATAGGAGTAGGTACACCTTACTTATAGGCAACAGTTTTTATAGGAGTAGGTATATATAGGAGTAGGTACACCTAACTTATAGGCAACAGTTGTTATAGAAGTAAGTACACCTAACTTATAGGCAACAGTTGTTATAGGAGTAGATATATATAGGAGTAGGTATATATAGGAGTAGGCACACCTTACTTATAGGTAACAGTTGTTATAGGAGTAGGTACACCTAACATATATACAACAGTTGTTATAGGGGTAGGTACACCTAACATATATACAACAGTTGTTATAGCAGTAGGTACACCTAACATATATACAACAGTTGTTATAGGAGTAGGTACACCTTACTTATAAGCAACAGTTGTTATAGGAGTAGGTACAGTTGTGGGATCGCACAACGTTACACGATGTGCGGTGTGCGCACGATGTGTGCATGGTGTGTGAACGGTGTGTGCACGATGGGCGAAAGATAAAAAGCAGAACGATCATTGATTGCGCAAATATGTGCGCACGATGGACAGTCGTTGTGCGATAAAAATCGTGGTTGGTGTAAATTGAGGAATGCCTTAACAATTTATACGGCTTCGTGTTTAAACATATAAACTT